ACCGCGCAGCCGCAGCAGGGAGATTTGAGGAGGTGTGTGGGCTTCCGGGGGGGTGTGTGGCGGCGCTACACACGACCCAGATCACCATGAACACGCCTCGCACAGGCGAGAGCATGCGCGAGTATGAGAATCGGCGGCTGTCGGCGCGGCGGCAGAAGATGGTTTATTCCGTGGCGGTGCAAGTGGCTGTGGGGGCAGATGGGCTGATTTTGGATGTGTCCGCTGGGCCTGGGTCGCTCACTGATAGTGACGTGCTGTTGCAGTCCCAGCTGTACCAGAGAGTGAGCAAGGAGGAGGAGAGGCAGAGGCAGGGGGGATTCGCGGGGGACGAGGAGGGGAAGGGGAGAAGGAGGGGGGAGGCGGAGGGGAAGAGTAACAGCGGTGGGGAAGGGATAGTTCCTCCAGGGTTCTTTCTTGTCGGCTGGCATTCTTTCCCTCTGCTCCGATGGCTGCTCACTCCCTTCCCGGATCGAGGCCTCTCCAGCATTGCCCACACTCGCACACCCTCCGCTCCTCTTTTCCCCCCTCCCCCCACCACGGCCGCTGCTGCTCTAGCTGCTGCTAATACGGCTTTACTTGCGTCACACCTGCCACGGTCGGCCGGCACAGAAGATGCAGCAGCAGCAGCTGCTGGGGTAGCAACAGCAGCGTCAGCGACTGCAGCAGCAATAGCGCTGATATCCTCCCCATCGGCAGCTGCTGCCGCCGCTGCAGCAGCCATCGCGAGTGCTTCAGGCGGGCCAGGGGGGAGAGGGCTAGGGCGTGGGCGAGGACGAGGGGTCTCAGCTGCTGCTGCAGCAGCCGCCGCCGCTGCCGCAGCAGCTGCAGCTGCAGGCAATACCAGGAGCCGAAACTTTTCAGAAAATGCTTTGAGCCAAACTGCCGCGGCAGCTGCACGCAACCAAAGCATAGCTGCTCTCGCTGGCGAGGCAGCAGCAGCAGCAGCACCGCATTCGTCTGTAAACCTAGCGGATCTACCTACCGAGTTGCTGGTGCGGCGCAAGGGCAGCATTCCCATACCTGACAACATTGAGCAGCTACAGAGGGCACTAGATGGCATGCGAGATGATGCGGGGCGCGGACGAGTGGGAGAGGCACGGCCGAGGAAACGGGGCCGGCCGCCTCTGCATGCGAGAAGGGTGATTCGGGAGGAGAGCAGGAGCTGGTGGGCGGGCGAGAGGGAGAGGAGGGTGGAGATGGAGAGAGTGGGCGCTGCGGCACTGGATGGGGAGGGTGGGAGTGGGGGGGGTTCTTTGGGAGGGGATTTCGGGACAGGCAGAGGCAGGGGTAGGGGAGTGGGGAGGGGTGGGAGTGGGGGAATAGGGAGAAGTGAGTTTGTGGAAGGGGAATTTGAGGGGAATGATGTTGCTGACAAGGGTGGTAGCGCTGGCAGAAGTGGCGGTGGTGGCGGTGGTGCTGGCAGTGGTGGTGGTGACGGCGGTGGTAAACGGCTGACTATATTGGAGAGGCTGGGGAGGGAGAGCATGTTACCTGGTGATCAGCTACAGTATAATCAAGGGGTTGAAAGGGCGGTGGCAGTGGCGCGCAATGCAGTGCGCCGGCTGCGGAGCAGATGGAAACTTTTAAGTAAGCGCGCTGAAACTAAAGTGGAGGAATTGCCGGAGATTGTGGGGGCGTGTTGTGTGCTGCATAACCTGTGTGAAAAGCGGGGGGAGCGGTATGACGTGGCGTGGGAGGAGGGCGTGGGGAATGAGGAGGAGGACGCTGACGAGGCAGCCAAATCAGCTGCTGAGTTGGCGGAGGAGGAGGAGGTGAGACGAGCAAGCAAGAGAGCGAGGATGGGAGGGGATCGGGGTGGGGGACAGGCAGAAGCCGCTGTGGGGCCTGGAGAAAGGAGTAGATTGAGAGTGGTGGAGGAGATGGGGCGAAGGAAGTGTGGGGGAACGTGAGTGGAAGAAACAGGCAATTTTTACACGAGGTGACGAGGTCCTTCAGTGTGGTAAAATATGTTGATGTGAAATGATGGGTTGGCTGTTTTTAGTCTAGTGTAGTGTACTGACAACTGACCAGATTGGCAATACGAAAAGCATAGAACTAGTATGCCAAAAACATGTTAATGGGGACGCTGAGTCAGTATTTACGTGGATAAGATCCTTTCAGAACCCCACACCGTATGACAGGTGGAAAGGTATCAATATCATTTGGCAGGTAACATTCGTTCAAAGAAACGCAAAGGTATGCGAGAATGATCACAAATGTTTTTTTGCCGAAAGTGGTCCCACCGCAAGTGTGCAGCACGGTTGAGCCTCGAGCGAGACGGGAGGCACGTCTCGGACTGCGACTCCTTTCTTCGCTCGTGCTTCCTCGCAGCTGTAACCCGATGTGCGAACATGTTTTTCGCCTCGCCCTACCAGTTCCATCTGGCCTGCATAGTATTTCATTTAAAGTGTGCTGGTAACGTCGCACGGGGAGAAGGTTGTGGGATGAGCAGTGAACAGGAAAGGATAGGGGACCAGTAAAAGGGACAGGCAGAAGGAGAGGTAAGGAAGGAGTAAAAGCTGGTGGTGTGTGCGCAGGGCGGAGTTGCGGAGACTGTCTGTACGTGACCGAGGAGCGAGTGGATGCTCTCTGCTGAGGATCAGCGCGTGTGAATCTAGCTGGCAGCGTGGATTATTAGTCAACTCCGCGCGGGGATTCGTTTCCACGGGACTCGTGAGACTCGTTTCTGCTCGCTTCTGATTGCGCTTCCAGCCGCTCCTCGCGCGATCATCACAGCTTGAGACAGAATCGCCGTAACACGCGGTGACTTTTGAGTCGACTCAAAAGTCGTGACTCTTCACAACCCGTGCTTCTCGTTACACCGTTCTCCGGCATCAGCGCCGCACACTGCGGCCACCGGTTCCAGCCGTTGCAGAATCATTTGGCGATCCATCGCCTGGCGCGTTACCGTCTCAACTCCTTAGCCCTCTAATAATAAAATTCTCTTATTTCTTAGCTCACCTTATTCCCTTAGTCTCTCAGTCTCGCGATGGCCGTTCCTGAACCCGAGCCTCCCCCGTCGTCCGCGGCCGCGCCGCCGCCGCTGCCGCCTCCTCTGCTCTTCTTGGCGAAGACGGCGCTTCGGAGCAGCGCAGTGCTGCAGGCCGTCGCGGGAAGGTTCCTCGCAGCATCGTCGTACGATGTCGTCTTCGGGAAGGTGCGTGGGCGGGATGTGAAGGCGCCGTGTGCAGAGGAGCGCAGCGCACCGCAGCTCGCGCAACGATTCTGCGCTTTTGAGACTAAAAGCGCGTTGAATTAAGGCCGTTGCGGAACCGCGGCTCTAGCGGCGTGCGCCTTTCAACGCGCGGATGTTTTCTGTCGTTAGATCGGAACCGTCTCACACTCTCCTCTCCCTGTCAACTCCTACCACCGCTCCGTTCTCGCGTTTCCGCTGCGGTTAGGGTTTCCCCCCTCCCCCATGCGCTCTTCGTCGCACAACCCCGTCACTGCTACGTGAGAATCTCTGCTCGTCTTTCAGTATCACCACGTTCCCTTCCCCCACCTGACCTTCCCCTTCCCCCCGCGTCCCTCTCCCCCCTTCCCCCACAACGCGCGTCTCACCCCGTACCGGAGGTCTCACCCGACGTTGCACTTCTGAGAATTCTCAAAAGGTCCTATCTGACCTTGCAAGTGGTTGTTGAGAATTCTCAAACCCCATCCCTCTCCCTCTCCCTCCCGCTTGCGTCTCACCCCCGACAGGAGTCCTGTGTGGAGCTATTGGAGGTCTTACCCGACGGTGCGCTCTCATCAGTGTGCGAGCAGCCCGTATTTGGCACCATCATCGCGCTGCAGACCCTCCCGCCCAACCCGCACCTCCTCCCCCTGCCTCCGCCGTCGCACCAGCCGCCGCACTCCGCCGCTACCGCCGCCGGCGCCTCCGCCGCCCCCCCCGCCCACCCCCCCTCTTGCGGCCTTCCCGCTCCCCGTGTCCCTGTCGCCGTACCTTCCGCCGTTTCGCGCGTTCTCCCCGTCGCGCCCGCTGGGGGGAATGTCGCCGGGGGGAGGGGGGTCTCTGGCGCAGTTGATGTTGGGGCCGGCAGGGGGGGCAGGAGGGAGCAGTCCGGGCGCGAAGGTAAATACCAGCACAGGAAGGATTTATTGTGGATTTAGAAGCTCGAATTGATCAAGGAATGGACATGGGGAAGGGACGGGATGGGGTGTAAGGGTAGGTAAACCATTACTGGAAGCAGGCAGGCGGGAGGCGAGGAGGTGGGGAGTTGGGGAGGTGGGGAGCTGGGGAGGTGGGGACGCGGGAAGATCACTGTACTATTCATGATTTGCCAAACACCCTCCCTCTTTCCCACGCCCCTCTCCCAAATTTCCTTACCTCAAGATTCAATCGTCCCCCCCTTGTCTCTCCCCAATCTTACCCCCCCCCCCCCTTCCCCCCCTCTCACCCCCTTTTTCCCTCTGTTTCCCCCCATTCCGCCCCACGCTCTCGCACCCCCTCCCCAGCCGTCCCCTCCTCCCACGTCTGCAGTACGTGGGGAGGGACATGCTAGCAGTGCTGTCGGATTTGGACAAGCTCTCCATTCCATGCCTCCTACCCATGCCTCCTACCCATGCCTCCTACCCATGCCTCCTACCCATGCCTCCTACCCATGCCCTCCCTCCCCGCCGTGCGCAGTACGCGGGGAGGGACATGCTAGCAGTGCTGTCGGATTCGGGAAAGCTCTCCATCCTGGCTTTCGATCCCGATCTCAACAGGTGCCGCCAGGCAGAGAGGGGGGGGGGGGGGGGGGTGGGGGGTTGGCAGTGGGAGTACTCGCATGGGGGGTAGGGGGGCCCGGTGTTGCGTGTGGGCTAGGTGTGCTGGCAAGCTGTCCTGTCCATCTTCGCTTTTGATCAGGTGTTGGCTTGTCGTTGCTGGAGGTTGCACTTTGATTTGGTTTGTTTCACCTGCATTCGTAACCCTTCTTCTTCTTCTTCGCTCTATTCTCCAGATTCGTTGCCCTGCGACACGTGGCGCTTTCCGACAGGCCGCGGCCGCTGCAGTCCTTTGCGCCTCGAGAGCTTGGGCGGTTGCTGGCCGTACACCCATTGTGAGATGCCACAGCCCCTCCATACCCCGTGTTGATTGCTTATTGGGATAGTGTATATATAATATATACATTTGTGTGTGTTTTAAGGTCAATTATCTATCAATTGCGTAACAATGTTGTATGTATCGATCATCGGGCTTCCTGCATCAGAGGCCATGTCTACCTTTCCGCCCCAACGTGTCCTGTATATGTCTCACCCCCCAACTATCAACTTCCCAAGGTATCCCCCCCCCCAAAATTCCAACCCCACATCATCGCCCCCATGCCCTTTATGTCTCTTCCCCCCTTCCCCCCTCTTCCCCCCTTCCCCCCCTTCCCCCCTTTTGCCCTTCCCCCTTCTTCACTCCTCTCTGCCCCCTCTGTGAGTGCAGAGGCAGGGCGGTGGCAGTGGCGGCAATGGAGGGGCGAGTGGCGGTGCTGCCGGTGCTGCACTCCCACACGTGCGACAGGCTCATTGCCAAGGTGGGACGGGCATGGCAAGGCACGCAGTAGCTGGTTCAGTACTTGTGGCAGTAGCAGCAGGGGCAGGAGTTGGGCTGGGGCAATGGTGAAGGCGTTTCAGGGGTGGGTGGGTGGCAGTAGCCTAGGGTGGCAATGCAGAGGTTGCCAATTGCCTGTGTCGTCCTGGCCCAATGCACAGATGGTTTTTGAGTCGACTCAAAAGCCCTGGCCCAATGCGCAGATGGTTTTTGAGTCGACTCAAAAGCCCTGGCCCAATGCAGACATGGTGCGAATTGCCAATTGCCTGTCTTTGTCCTGAGCCACTGCAGATATTGCAAGGTACATGTTATGTTATTTGCCTGTGTGGCCCCCGTAGCCCTAATTTACAAGGTCACGTCCTGTTGTGAGAAGCTGCGTTTGGGAGGGTGTTTTCTTTGCATCCTGCCGACTTGTTATTCCTCACCCCCACACCCACCCACCCCTCTCCCCCCGTCCAATTTCCTTTCTTCGTCCTGCTCTCACCTCCTCTGTCCTTCCCCTCCCCCCTTCCACCCCCGCCCTCCCATTCCGCCTGTTATCCCTCCCCTGCAGCCCATTGTGTTTCCCTCATCCGCCTCCACCTCCTCTCTACCCGCCTCACCTGCTACCATACCCTCAGCAGCACCCCGCTCCACTCACACTCACACTCAAGCGCACAATCACACACCACCGCGCTCCACCTCTCCATTCTCTCATCTCCTCTGCAACCAGCCCCCAACCATTACTCTCGGCACCATCTGGAGCATCGCCTTTGTCTCCTCCGCACCACTCCGCACCGCTTCAAACCGCCCTGCCCCTGCCGCCACCGCTGCTGCTTCTGGTGGTGCAGGGAATACTGCCAGCATTCCAGTTGCTCCATCCGCCGCCGCCGCTGCTGCTGCTTCTGCTGGCGCTGCTATTGCCAGCACAGCACAAGGCACAACCCCTCCTGCCGTCTCTCCTGCCTTTCGTGCCCCCACGTCGCTCCCCTCCGCACCACCCCTGCCACTGCTGTACCTCCCCCCACCTGCCAACGTCCTCATGTCTCCCTGCGCCTCTGCAATGCATGCTGCAGCAGCAGCAGCGGCAGCAGGGGATGCTCCCAGTCCTGCTTTGCTCCCTGCTCACGGCACTTACCAGCAGCATCAGCCGCAGCAGCACCAGCGTCAGCAGCAGCAGGTGGTGGTGGGGGGAAAAGAATGGTCTGGTCCCTTGTACCTTGCAGTGCTTTCACACAGGTGCGTGGTCTGTAAACGCTGGGAGAAGTGGACACTAGGCTCTTTGCTCTCTGCTCTCTGCTCTCTGCTCTCTGCTCTTGGCTCTATGTTCTCTGCTCTCTGCGCTGTGCTCTGGCACTTAGAATCTTTGAGCTGCTCATTAAGCAACCTCCATGTAGATTTCGACACTTCAACCGTAAATGTTTCTGCAATCAGGACATTTCTTGCTCGTTCTCTTCCCCTTTTCCTCCGTCCCTTCACCATCACTCTCGTCCCTCTCCACATACTTTAAAAGACCTAAACCCTTAAAAAACCCTTCAAAAACTTAAACCCAGGACGAAAAAAAATAAACCTTTTATCTACCCACCCGTGGCGTGCCCCTCCTTTTCCCCCCCTCCCCAGCAAGGGCTCCTCTTCCTTTGACCTGGTTCTGCTGCGCTGTGACCCTGCACTCGCCTCCCTCCGCCCTGCCTCCTCTCTCTCCATCCCCGCCCGACCCTGCCCCATGCATCTCGTCACCCCCCCTCGCACCCCCAACACCCTTTTGCTGCTGCGTGAGGGGAGTGTGGTGGTGGTTGGTGTGAGGGAGGGGGAGAGGGGAGAGGGAGTGAGTATGGTGGTGGAGGCAGTGGTTGGGCTGGGAAGGGATGTGAGGAGTGAGGGGGAGAGAGTTGGGGGGTGGCAGAGGGGGAGGGAGAGGAGGAGGAGGAGAGGTTGGGGGCGAGGACGGGGAGGAGGGGACGGAGGGGGCGGAGGAGGGGGTGGAGGAGGCGGAGGGGGAGGAGGCAGCGGTGGTGGGGGAGGGGGAGGGGGAGGGGGAGGGGGAGGGGGAGGGGGAGGGGGGAGGGGGCGGGGGGACGGGGGGGAGCGGAGGAGGAACAGGAAGCGGCAGTGGGAGAAGAGAGGGAGGATTTGGGGAAGACGACGGGAGTAGGGACGGAGAAGGGAGGAGTGAAGAGGACAGGGGCGAGGGGCGAGGGATGAGTGGTGCGTGTGGGGGTATTGGCGAAGGTGGAAGGGCGTGGGCAGGTGCAGGGAGCAGGGGAGAAGGGAGGGAACAGTGGGAGAGGCGTGTGGGAGGAAACACTATGGGAGACAGCTTGGATTGCAGCATGCAGTGTGGCATTGCTGCTGGGAGCAGCAGCAGCATTGGTGGCAGTGGTGACGGTGGTGGAAGTGACTCCCACCATTGCAGCATTCCAGTGAATTCCCTGCAAGAATCCCCGAGCCTCCCCTCCGGTTCTCCTGTCCTGTCGGCCACCCTTTCTGTCCACTCAGCCCCCCTCGCGCCTTCGCCCTTTGCACGCCTTGCCCGGGATGCAGTCAGGCATGCTCTGGTGCAGGGGCGGCGTTATGTGGAGGAGAATGGCGGGAAAGGGTACCTGGGGGAGGTGGTAACTGGGGAGGCAGTAGCTGGGCTGGTCGCGGTGGGGGGAGAATTGGGTGGAAGAGTGGAGGATAGGCAAGTGGGGGAGGTGAGGGGCAGGTGGAGGATCAGGGGGGGTTGGACTGGGAAGGAAGGAGGGGCGAGTGGGAGTGAGGTGGAGAGGTGTGTGGAGCGGTGTGGAGGAGACGATGTGGGGAAGAGGAGTCAGGTTCTGTGGCGAGAGGATTCACGGGGTGGTGGTGATGGCAGGGGGGATTATGGGAGTGGTGGTTGTGGGGTGGGATGGGGAGAGAGGTGTTGGGATGAGACGCAGAGAGCGGGAGGGGGTGATGATGGGGAAGTGGGTGTGGGGGGATGTGCGGGGGGGGATGGGGAGGGGGCGGATAGACCCGAGTGTGAAGTCGAGGGGAGGGTGGGGGGAAGAGAAGGGGAGGGAGAGGAAGGAGGGGAGGGGGAGGAAGAAGGAGAGGGAGAAGAAGGGGACGAAGAGGGCGGCACAGGTGCGGAGCAGGAAATGGAAGAAGAGAGGGGAGAGAACGAGGGGGGGGGAGAAGAGGAACAGGAGTATGATGGGGAGAGGGGGTGGGACGGGGAGGAGGAGGTGGAGCAGGAGCAGGAGCAGGAGGAGGAGGATGAGGAGGAAGAAGAGGATAAGGAGGAGGAGGAGGATGAGGAGGAAGAAGAGGATGCGGAGCAGGAGGATCCATTGGGATTGAGATTGTTGGAGGAGGAAGGGGGAGGCGAGGAGGGGGTTTTGATCAGCAGTTGGAGCTGGGAGGTGCAGGCCACGCCAGAGAGATGGTGCCACATGCGGCATGGGCATGGGCATGGGCATGGGCATGGGCATGGGCATGGGCATGGGCATGGGCATGGGCATGCGCATGGGCATGGGCATGGGCATGGGCATAAAGGGAGGGCAAGATCTAGGGTTGGAAGGAGGAGGAAAGTAAGGTGTGGTGGCGAGATTGGGCCAGTGGAAGGGGCTGTGTGGGGGGAGGGCGATGTGGTGATGATGGAAAGTGGGGGAGGTGAGGGGCGCGAGAGGGGCGAGGAGAGAGAGTGGAGGGAGGGGGGAGAGGGGGAAGAGAGGCGAGAAGAACAGGGGAGGCTTGAACAGCCGCAAGGAAAGCAGCATGTGGAGGAGCAGGGGGCGAAGGAGAGGCAGGAGGAGGATGAGAAGCACGGCCGGCAGCAGCGAGAGCAGCAGCGGTGGGGGAAGCAGCGTGGGAGGAGTGGTGTGAGGTGTGTAGTAAAGGAGGAAAGACTCCTGCTCTGCACGGACCAAGGGACTCTTCACGTGCTCTCCCTTCAGCACCACTCCCCCTCTTTCGCCGCCTCCTCCTCCTCTTCCTCCCCCGCCCTGTCTTCCGCCTCTGCCTCCTTTCGTTCTACCACCTCCGCGCTCACCCCCGCACTCACACCAACCTCCCCCCTCTCCGCCTCCCCCGGTAGCCCCCGCCTCCCGTCCCCCGTTCCGCCCACCTCCCGCGCCTCCCCCCCGTCCCCCTGCTCCCCCATGTCTCTTCAGTGCGCCCCTCCGCGCGAGCAGGAGGGGCAGGGGGAGGGAGAGAGGGCGGAGAGGGCGGGGGAGGCGGAGAAGGAGGGCGAAGAAGGAAGGAGGGAAGGCTGTGAGGGTGGGGAGGGAGGGAGGGGAGAGGGCAAGGAGGAGGGGACGGTGAGAGAAGAGGGGTGTTTACAGGTGTGGCTATCACCTGTGCTTGCAAGTGGAGTGGCATTGGGGGCTGTGGCATGGGCAGGTCAGCACACGGTGGTTGCTGCTGCTGCTGCTGGGTCAGGGTGCGTGTTTCAGGTGGGAGGGGAGATGATAGAGGGCGAGTTGGAGGGGGAAAGGAGGGGTGGGGAGCAGAGGGAGGTGGGAGCAGGTGATGTGGATGAGAGGGAAGGGGGCTGTGGGGTGGGAGTGGATCAGCAGGGAATGGAAGCAGACAGGTGTACACATGAGCCTACCGCCGCTGCTGCTGCTTCTGGTGGGGTTGATGCTGCTGCAACGGGTGCAGGACTTGGGGAGGCGCAGCAACAGGGTCAGAGGGAAGGCAACAAGAGACAGCCGGGGAAGGACCAGTGGGTGTTAATGGAATGTGACAGAGACGCATCACCCAGCAAGCGCAACACCAGCCACCCCTTCTCAGCTCCAACACCCCCTCCTCCGTCCCATCACCCAACCCTCGCTCCCAACCCACTCCCCTCATCCTCCCCGCTCCCATCCCCGCCAATCTCCCTCACCCTTCATTCCCCCATCCCCGGAATCGCCCCTCTAATAGACTTCACTTTAGCAGACCTGGGAGGGCAGCAGCAGGATCAGGTAGTGGCAGCGTGCGGGGAGGGGGAGGGCGGGGCGGTGTGTGTGGTGCGGAACGGGGTGAGTGTGGAGCGGTTATTGTCAACCGCTCCCGAGTACCATGGGGTGACGGGCACGTGGACAGTGCGGGCGCGGGCAGGGGACGAGCACCACTCGCTCTTTGTCATGTCGTTTGTCTCTCAGACGCGTGTGCTCGCTGTGGGCAGTCGCTTCAGAGACGTATCAGACCAAGTCCCTATGGATCTCTGCTCTCCCACACTGGCAGCAGGCCGCATCTTAGACGGGTTCCTCGTGCAGGTAACACCTGGCCAGGTGCGCCTGTGCCGCATGCCCCAGGCTCTCATGCGGGGGAGTGAAGGAGGGGAGGGTGGAGAGGAGGATGGGGAGGTGGGCGCGGGTGAAGGGATGGAGATAGGGTTGGATGGGGGGTGTGGGGGTGGCCCAGATGAGGGCGATGGGAGGAGAGAAGGCGGGGTGGCACATGATGGGCTGCTCTGGGTCCCACCCTCCACCTCCTCCACCACCACTGCTGGCAGCAGGAGCAGCAGCAGCGGCAGCAGCAGCAGGCAGCAGATTGCAGTGGCAGCGGTGGCGAGCGGGGTGGTGCTAGTGGCGCTCACATGCAATCCGCCTGTGCTCGTCATGCTCACATGCTCGCTGCTGCCCCCGGCAACGCAGCATTCCCCCATGCGTGCGCCAGGTGGGGTTTCGGTGCATGAATGTCGTCCCCCGCAGGTGGGTCTGGTGGAGGTGTGTCGGTACTCACTGCAGTATGAGCTGTCCTGTATCCACATTCCGGATGATACCTTCCCTCCGCTGCCACTCGCACTGGGGCATGAACTAGGACAGGGACAGGGACAGGGGCAGGCACAGTCACAGGGAAAAGGAGAATCAGGTTTCGGTGAACCTACAAGAGCAGCAGCAGGCACAGCAGCAGCAGTAGCAGCATCAACAGCAGCAACACCAGGCGCAGCGGCAGCAGCAGGCGGGCCATGTCTCGTGGGGCGTGTGGCCCTACTAGGCACATACGAGCCATCCGTGCGGGTCGTCTCCCTCGACCCCTCCCACCTCTTCCGTCTGATAGCCCTCGCACCCCTGCGCGCCCTCCCCCTCCCCGCACTCGCTCGCAGCAACACCAGCAGCAGCAGCGGTGGCAGCATGGGAGGGAGTGTGCCGGAGAGCACGTGCCTGTTGCTGTTCGACCAGGCGTATGTGGCAGTGGGCCTGCGTAACGGCACCCTTGTCCGGTTCGCATGGCCGCAAGGGAAGGAACCACAGGCGCTGCAGCTGCAGGCATCGGCAGGGGCTGTCGCTCTCACTCCCTCACCCGCACCCGCTGCTTCATCCACCAGCAACCCCCTCCCCCGCGCGGTCCAACTTGAGCTAGTAGCAGACCGGCAGCTGGGTCTCTCCCCCGTGGTGCTCGAGCCGCTGCAACCATCCCTGCAGTGTGATGTGGTGGCAATGAGCGAGCGCCCCTGGCTGCTCGTGCACTCGTCGCACAGCATGCGCCCACTCTGCGCCTCCATCTCCTTCCCCGCGTGCACGCACGCTGCTCCGCTCTCCTGTGCGGGCTGCACCAGCGGGATCATATTCGTCGCTGATAGGTCACTGCATATTGTGGAGCTAGCCAGGGCCCGTCGGCTAGATATGCACCGAATGCCCCTACACGCCACGCCGCACCGCCTCCTCCTCCACCCCTCCTCCCACACTCTCCTCGTCGCCTGCGCCGCCCCTCCGCCCCGCACTCACCCACCTCTCTCCTCGTTCCTCCAGCAACCGTCCCCGCCGCGCACCCCCCCGGCGGCCCCCTCCCGGCCTTCCCTCCGGTGTGTAGACCCATCGTCTGGGTCGATTCTTTCGAGCTTTGAGCTTCCTGTGTCGTCCCGTACGCGCTCGCTGGCTCTCTGGCAGCCGCAACGACCGAGAGTGCGAGGCAGGAAGGGTGGGGTTGCGGGGAAGGGTGTGGTACGAGCAGGGAAGGGGAAGGGGAAGGAGGAAATGTTTCCAGAGCTGAAACGTACGGATCGGGTGCGGTGGGTGGGTGGGTCTGAGGAGTATGGTGGACGGTTGGGTGAAAGGGGGAGGGGAGTGGGAGGAGGGAGGGAGCGGGTGGGGAGGGAGAGTGAGGGGCTGGGGGAAGGGAGTGGGGAGGAAGGAGAGGAAAGGGGAGAGGAGGGGGAATTGGAGGGGCAGCGGGGGAGGGGCGGTGGGTATGGAGAGGGGCGGCAGGAGGGAGAAGAGGAAGGAGAACGGGAGGGGGAGGAGGAAGTGCAGGTTGAAGAGGTGGTGGTGGTGGAGGAGGAAATGGGGGAGGAGGAGGAGAATGCGCAAGATGCTGCAGCAGCAACATCTGCACCGCAGCAGCAAGAGCACGAGCAGCAGGAGCAGCAAGAGCACGAGCAGCAGGAGCAGCAGGATGAGGAGCAGCAGCAGCAAGGGCAGCAGCAGCAGCAGCAGCAGCAGCCGATGACACCGATCCAAAGCCCCCCACCTTCCACTCCGCAACAAACCTCTGGCGTCCCTCCCCCACTGCACCACGCACCCTCCTCCTCCCACTCCCAGCAGCAGGAACCCTCCCCTCTCGCTCCTCTCCCCCACGCCCACACGCCTTCTCGAATGGCTCTTTCTCCCATTCCGCCCCTGCAGCAGCACACAGAGCATCAGGCAGGAGGCAGGGGATATGGCAAGGAGGGGGAGGAGGATGAGGCGGAGGGTGTGAGGGATGGAGAAAGGGAGGTGGGGAGGGATGGAGGGAAGGGGAAAGGGAAAGCGGTGGCAGGTGCGGAGCAGCAGCAGCAGCAGGGGGGGAGGCAGAGGCGCAGGGAGCATGGGAGCAGCAGCAGGCATGAATTTGTCATGCTAGGAACAGAGGAGACTGAAGGCTCTGATACCGGGTATGCTGCTTCTCGTGCTTCACTGTTATCTAGCATGGTGCATCCTCGGCCAGTTGGACTGGGAAGCGCAACTGTGTTCAATGGGGGCATATCTGTGTTGCCGTTTGCCGTTTGCCGTTTGCCGTTTGCCGTTTGCCGTTTGCCTCATGTTCTGCCCCAAGTCCCCGTTCTTCCCCTTCTCCCCGCTTCCCCCCCCCTCCCCCCCTCTTCCGTTTTGAGCTGATTCAAGGGTTCCTTTCCAGCCGTACGATCGCTTTGCTGGTTTCTTCTTTTGCATGCTTCCGCCTCCTTCCCTCTCCTCCCTCTGTTCCTTTCTCTCCCGCTTCCTCCCCATCGCTTCCCTCTTTCTTTCACGTTACCTCTCCTCGTTCCAAGAGCAGTGCTTTCCTCGATCCCGTCGCTTGCCCTTTCCCTTCATCTGTCCATTCTCATCCCTTGTGCTCATTCCCCTCGTTCCCCTCTCCCCACTCGCGCCTGCCCCACTCCCCCCCTTTTCTCCGCTCAATCCACTTCAACCCCCAACCTCCTATCGCTTTCCCCTCCGCTCATCCCCCTCTCCGCCCTCCCCCTCTCCGCCCTCCCTCTTCCTCCCCCTCCCCCCACGCTCCCAGGGGCACGCTGTATATGCTGCGACTCCAGCCCTGCCCCGAACCTCTTTCCACCGCTCCTCCTGCCCGACCCTCTCGTCCGTCGCTCCCTCCCCTCCCTCCTCTCTCCACGCCTCTCTCCTCCTCACCACCGGTCACCTCAGCTGCAGCAGCAGGGCTAGGGGGGCCACGCGGGGGCAGTGGCAGCGGCAGGGGGGGGAGGTGGGGGGAAGAAGGGGGGGCGGGGGAGAGGCTTGGGGGGCTGAGTGGGGTGCTGGAGCGGATGAGACGGGCAGTGGCTGCTGCTGAGCGGAGAGGAGGGGGAGAGAGCGGGGGGGCAAGGGGAGCAGGGGGAGCAGGAGGGGCGGTTGTAAGGGAGGCAGGGGGAGCAGAAATAGGCGCTAGTACTGCAGGGGGAGGGAGGGGCGCAGGAGAGGTGCGGAGAGGGGGGGGAGAGGAGACGGGTGGAGTTGAGGAGGGTAGAGAGGGAATGGCGGGGGGTGGTGCTGGTGGGATTGGGAGGGAGAGAGGGATGGGAGGAGAGGAGCCAGGGACGGGATCTGGTGAGAGCCGAGGGGTGACAGGTGACCGGCAGGCGAATGGCGGCATGGGATTGATGGGAAGGAACAGTGGGGAGGAGGAGGAGGAGATGGGGGAGGAGGTGGGGGAGGAGGTGGGGGAGGGGGCGGGGGAGGGGCGACTGGCTGTGGGAAGCAGCGGGGCTGATGCTTCTCGCGGTGGTGCTGGCGAGGGGGATAGAGAACAGGGAGCAGCAGCGGCAGCAGCAGGAGAAGTGGCAGGAGCGGCAGTGGGAGGGTGGGAGGTGGTACTGCTACGGAGTGTGCCGATGCCCGGGCCAGTCTCTGCCATCGTGCCGTTCCTGCACAAGTACCTGCTCGTTGCCGCGGGCAACATGGTATGTTTTTTGAGTCGACTCTCTCGAATCACACTCTCTGCTGTCTTGTCGTCCCCCTCCTCTTGGACAAAGTACCTGCTCGTTGCTGCGGGCAACAGCAAGCGTGGTGGTGAGCGTCTACTGAAGCAGGCATGGTGCGTGCGTACCTACCCACCTGTAATGTGGCTACTTGCTGCTCACCGCTGAGTGTCTCTCTGCTGCTGCCGTCTGCCTCCATTGAAGCCTGTCACACCATCCTTTCAGGCGCCTCAACAGTCTCCTGCTCTGTCTCCGCCCCCCTCCCCTGTCTCCCCTCCTTCCCCCAAGCTGCTGTGCTTCTCCTTCTCCCCCAAGGCATATCAGAACCCGCCACTCCATCTTTTCAGGCACCTCAACAGTTTCCCACTCTGTCCCTCCCCCCACTCCTCCCTCCTTCCCCCTCCCCGTCTCCCCCCTCCCCCCAGCTGTTGTGCTTCTCCTTCTCCCCCAAGGCATATCTGCGCCGAGTCGCCTCCATCAGAACCCGCCATGCCATTCGCTCCCTCTCCGTTGCACCGCCCACACCCCCACATGCCCCTCTCCCGCCTTCCTCCGGGCCCCTCCCCTCCTCCTCCTCTGCCACTCCTGCCGCCGCCACTGTTACTGGCACTGCCGCCGCTGCTGCTGCTGCTGCCGCTGCCGCTGTGCCTGCGCTGTCGGCCGCTCTGTCTGCTTCCGCCCCGCTCACTCACCGCGTTCTGGTGGCAGACTCACGGGATGGTGTGCTGCTATACGCGTTCCACGAGGTACCCGCCCACCCACCCACCCACCCACCCACCCACCCACCCACCCACCCACCAACCAACCAATTGCCCTTGTCTTTTTTACGAATGTATCCACTCCCTACCTCCTCCGATGTGGCAAGTGGCACCACTCAAAAGTCACAACATGCTGATGTCTACCTTTCCAGGATTTTCCCTCCTGTGCTGCCATTTTCCCTTTCTCCCGTTTCCACTTTCCATATATCCTATTGCAGATCGACTTGTCACCCCCCTCAACCCCCACATGTCTCCTAATTTTCTCTGGTCTGGTGCGCACCTATATTCCCCAACATGACTCCCATCGTCTCCCTCCCATCACAGGGAGCAGCACGGTTCGAGCTGCTGCAGCCAGACCCATCGCACCACTTTCAACTCTCTCCACTTGTCCAGATCCCCTATCCCCCCCCGTTCCTCCCCTCCCTGTGTGCCCCCAACATTTCTCCCGTCGCCTCCCGCCCATGCACATCACAGGGAGCAGCACGGTTCGAGCTGCTGCACTCAGACCCATCGCATCGCCTCACGTCCGCATGCCTGCTGCTGTCCTCCCACCCCGCCGCTGCTCTTGCTTGCGACCGCCGAGGCTCCCTCTGCCTCCTCGCCTCGCCACCGCCACCCCCTCCTGCTGACCTTGGTGCGCACCTCCTCAGTACCCCCTTGCCTGCCGGGCCTTATATTTCAAGATTCGTATTTCTATAAGACACCTCAGAAGAAGGCTGCGACTGTTGTTTGATTGAACCACCCCCCTGCGCTGGCCTCTGTCTGTGCATCTCTCTTTCCCTTGCAACCCTTGTCCTCATCCTCTCCAGGCCTGCATGCAGGGTGCACGGGCAACAGTCCAGAGCGGAACCTGCAGGAGCGCGCGTGGTTCTACCTGGGGGAAGGCGTGCAGGGCGTGAAAAAGGTACGCTGGGTTGGGAGGGGGAGGGGGGAAGAGAGAGGACAGGAAGAAGGGGGAGAGACAAGTTTTGAGGTGCCTATAAACACCTGCAGAGAGAGGGCGTGGCTCTAAAGGGGGGAAGGCGTGCAGGTTGTGAAAAACGTGCGTGCTGGGAGGGGAGGGAGGGAAAAGGGGAGAGGGATAGGGGGAAGAAGCGGGGTAGAAAGGGGGAGAGGAGAAGAGGGAGGATTTTTCCAGGGTTGTTGCTCGTGCACCCCAGCACCACACAATTTCCACCACTCGCCCTTCCTTTGCCGCTGTTGCTCGTGAGGCTTCCTGAGAAGCAGCTCCAATGTGCCGCTGTTGCTTGTGAGGTTCCCCCAATCTCAACTCCAATGTTGTGCTGCTGCTGTTGCTGCTGGTGCTGCTGGTGCTGCTGGTGCTGCTGTTGCTGCTGGTGCTGCTGGTGCTGCTGTTGCTGCTGGTGCTGCTGGTGCTGCTGGTGCTGCTGTTGCTGCTGGTGCTGCTGGTGCTGCTGTTGCTGCTGGTGCTGCTGGTGCTGCTGGTGCTGCTGGTGCTGCTGGTGCTGCTGGTGCTGCTGGTGCTGCTGGTGCTGCTGGTGCTGCTGGTGCTGCTGGTGCTGCTGGTGCTGCTGGTGCTGCTGGTGCTGCTGGTGCTGCTGGTGCTGCTGGTGCTGCTGGTGCTGCTGGTGCTGCTGGTGCTGCAGGGTTCCCTGGCCTACCGTACCCCCCTGGCATCTACAGACCACCGCCTCCCAAAGCAGCACCTGCAGCAGCAGCGTCAACCGGGAGATGCACTGGTGGAGGGGGAGGACGCAGGAGGGGCAGGAGAGGCGGGAGGGGGCATGGGTGGTGGCAAAGGGATGGGTGCAGGGAGAGGGAGGGATGGCGGTGTGGGTGGTGGGGATTCTTCCATGGGCGCTTCGTCCCTTGTGGTCTCCACTTTGCTGGGATCGGTTGTCACGTTGCTGCAACTGTCCAGGTGCGTGTGCCACCACCACACCACGCATCTTCGTTTGCTTGTTGCTTCCTTGCATACTTACACGCTTGCACTGCACAGTCTTTGTAGTCCTATTCGTGCCATTGCACCATCTATCTCCATCGCCCATCTCTATGTCCCTCTCTCCCCTCTCTCCCCTCTCTCCCCCATTTCTCCTCTTTTCTGCGCGCCCCTCTTGTCTCCCCAATCGCAGAGCGGATTATGCACTGCTGGCGCTCATAGAGCACCGTTTAGCAGAGCACCCACTCACAGCCCCCCTCCTTGGCAACAACCACGCTCACTTCCGCTCCAAAGGGGCTCCAGTAAGACTTCGCTGCACTTTCTTCTTCTTTTCCGGATGCCAGATTTGTCTCTTGCCTTTTGTCTTTCCCCTCAACCTCACCTCGGTTCCTCTCCTGGTGCTCCTCTACCGCCATCACCACGCCGCCCCCCTATCCCTCCCACTCGCCCCTTGCAGCCCCATGGACTGTGCTGTACTGTGCTGTACTGTGCTGTACTGTACTATACTGTGCTGTGCTGTACTGTACTGTGCTGTGCTGTACTGTACTGTACTGTGCTGTGCTGTACTGTGCTGTACTGTGCTGTACTGTGCTGTACTGTGCTGTACTGTGCTGTGCTATGCTGTGCTGTGCTGTGCTGTGCTGTGCTGTGCTGTGCGACGGTTGTGTCGACTCAAAATCCGTCTCAATAGCCACCTCAACAGTCGTTCCAAAAGTCGTCTAAAAAGGTCCTAAAGAGAATCTTCCAATTCCTTTCACATCCCCTCACCCCCGCTCCCTCCCCTCTCCCCAGCCGCATGTGGTGCGAGTGCTAGATGGCGACATGCTATCGCAGTTCCTCCACCTCTCCCCGCGCCAGCAGCACCATGTGCTCTCAGGCGCCTCCGCAGACGCCGCTGCCTCGTCCTCCCTCCTCGGCCCTGCCTACGCGGCTTCTCTTCCCCCTTCTGCTGCCAGCCTCGGCAGCAGCAGGAGGAGGAAAACCACCAGGATGGCACGTGCTGCTGCTGCGGGCAGTGGCAGCAGCAGCAACGGGAGCGGGAGTGGGAGCGGTAGTGGGAGTGGGAGTGGTAGCGGGAGCAGTGGTGGGGAGGGCACAGGGGAATGGCGGTCATCTGCGCTGCTAGACTTGCTAGAAGGCCCTCGGGAGAGAGTGTGGGTGGGAGCTGGTGGAGGCTTGGATGAGGCAACAGCCAGTGCCGCTGTTGCAGATGATGATGCTACTGGTGGTGCTGGTTCTGATGGAAGCGTTGCTGGGCTGAGTCAAGAAGCACTTACGGCTGTTCACTTGGGCAGTGCTGCTGGAAGGGCTTGGGCAGATGGAGGTAGGCAGAGCAATGTGGATGGAGAGGAGGAGGCGCCCCATGCACATCGCTCCCTTGCCTTTGCAGGTGCTGATGCTCACACTGACGTTGATGTTGGCGCAGATATTGATACGGAGGACATGGATCAAGGTGTGCAAAGCCCTCCATTGGGGCATGAGAGGGAGCCGGCAGGTTTGGTGGGTGGGGTGGGTGGGCCATGGTCCCTGCAGGCTCTGCGATCCTGCATTGACCCCTTGGAAGAGGGTGACTCGCCTGTTCCCTTGCAGGCTGTGCTACGGCTGCTGGAACGAGTACACAATGCGCTCACTTGAAACCACTTGTCTGAGTGGCTTTGCGAGGCTGTGTATTCAGAGATTCCTGTTGACATTACTGGCTTGAAAAGGGGGAAAAGTAAGGTGTATCCGCCTTCCGGCAGAGAAGGATGGATGTATGGTACCAATCCTAGTACACACAAAAGGGTTTCCAAAACAATGCATTACCAGCAGGGTAATACGTTGCTGGGCGTAATTCAGTTGTGCCATGGACCCTGCTGGCATTATACGAGATTTGTGGAGTCCATGGATCTATAGTGCGTATGTGTTCTGAAAAGCATATAATCAATCAGAGGTGGGATCAACGGATGTCGAATTTAGACAAATTTTAGGGCTTGCGGAAAGGGAGAGCTGTTAATCGGGATTAGAGACTCGCTTACAGAGGATGCACTGCTGGGAATTTGACGAGGATGAAACCGAAATGAAGCCTCAGCCAGCAAATACTTTCAATGTAACAGTATGCGTTATGGTGCGGTGCAGTGCCATATAACGTGGTTGAAATTGTAACCTTTGGACTGCTAAGATTGGTTGCGAACGTCGTGTACCATGGACGACGCTTTATGAGAATCCAGCTCCGATGCCAAACAAGCCAATCGTACATTAGAACTGGGAGCCAACGCACGAGCGCCTGCTGACGCATTCCCAGATATCACGGGTTCCACGTACCCATCCACTACTTCCAGGCAAACTGCCCGTCAGCGGGAAGGAGGCTCAAGGCCTACCCCTGCTCTTCGCTTCCAACCAAATCCGACCAAAGCTAGTATGGATGCTTCAAACTCGACAGTTTGTGGACTCGGATCTGCCAACCTGCATTTTGACTCTCTCTCCCCACTTCACCATCCATCTCCGACTCCAGCGTCCTCCATATCCAACGTCCTCCAACAACCAGCAGCCGCTCATTCGCCGTTCTTGACACCCTTTTCCACGTTTCACGTACATCTTGACCCGTTAGAGTGTCGAAATGGCAGCTACCAAGTCGTTCATTAAGCAGTGGGTGAAGCCTGATGTAAGTGTTCTACGATAGCTTACTTTGGGCGGGTTAGTTCCAATCCGACATAGTTTGACCATATTGTGTTACCATTACAGGTCTATCCCCTCATTGCCGCCATGGGCGCAGGCCTGACCTTCATGGTGTACAGTGGAAGCAGGGCCCTCTTCCAACCCGACGTCTTGTAAGTTCCACCATCAAAGTTCACTTTTTACCTTATGCTGTACTCGTTCAACTGGCATGCTTAACTCGCCTGTCCGTGGTTGGCAGTGTGAACAAGGCGTCCAGGGTGGATAACGGCGGAGAGATGTGTTCAGAGAAAGAAGGCAAGGAGTATAAGCATTCACCGCTTCGGGAATTTGTCAAGACGAAATATGACGTCGAGTCGACCATCAGCCCGCACGTACCAGCGCAAAAGTGAGCTTCAGCTGCAGCTTTTCCATGGCTCAACTCGGCTCATTATTCCGGCCCAACAAGCTTGCGTAATGTTGTATATTGCTTCGAAGTTGTACGAGCTTTACATGTGTAGCCGTATCGTGCATTACCATTTAGAGGTGCCAATTATTAAAGTTACGAAGTCCGAGTACCTGAATTCACAGCCGACAGAAATATCGTACTTGAGTCGTCAATCCAGTCTCGTTCATGATAAGACATTTCCAGATGCATCAAGAGTTGAAATTGGTCATTATCTATTTCATCACTGAAGTTTGCATCACCCCTAGATTGACACTTCAATTCCATCTTCAATCAGGCAATGCACGGAAATGGAACCCGTTTTTCCACTAAACCGTACATTCCAGCTAAAACAAAATATATATTTTGTTAAAACTCCACTGACGTGGGGTAGAGCATATATATTACCCCTTTCAGCACGAACGATTAGTGAGGCATACTGCCCACGCGTGTGACTCCTAGTCAAAGCGATAGTACTTGTGCACAGCTTCTGAGACCTTCCACGTGCAGCTCATTCCGTCGGGAAACACGACAAGGTCCCCAGCTCCGAATTCCACACTCTCTGTCTCGCCTGCTGGCGTGACCTTCACTTTGCCGCGAATAAGATAGCATGTCTCCGTGCCGCTATACGTCCAGGGAAACTCACTCACTTCGCACCCCCAAGTCGGCCAGGAACGGATCCCAAGCTCCGACAGACGCGCCTCTGATGGGTTGCGCTCGATCTTAATGCCCAAACGCTCCTCCACTGCGCCAGCCATGCAGACAAGCCGAGAAGCACACTTACTCACACGCTTCTTATTTTGCACACGAAAGGTGACCGAAACAGGAGCGCGTGAAGGCTTGGCGGCTACAGCAGAAGGGATACTGGGAACTGACGCAGGCAAACGGTAGACGAGAGTAGCACAGGCAAGGGAGATGGAAGCCATGAGATGAGATTCGTGCAATGGATGGACTGGGGCGAGGCAGAACCGAGCAAAGTGAAAGAACAGTCCCCAAAGAAACACGTCCAACGACCGTCTCGGCGAATTGCCCTTCGAATCTTCGCGAAGGGCTTCTGAGCCGAGCATTTCCAACGAACGAGGGAAATGAATGTGACCAGATCGGACAAAAGCCACGAGAACACATGAAGATATTCACGTGTTCATTCGGTACACTCATTTTCCCATTATCTTGCTCATCTCCCACATCTCTGCCAGCAAACCGCCCCAATTCGAAGCTCCTCAGGGCGCATTCCTAGCTTCGGGTCATCCGTGGTTCGGGGCTCCGAAAATTGGGATAGCCAATCAAAAAGCCCGCGGTTTGAGCTTTGATTTTTTAGATTGGATTCCACAAATTTCGGATGACATGAAACGGGATGACCCGAAGCCAGGAATGCGCCCTCAGCATTTCGACAGGACGATAGAGGCACACTACATGCAAATGAAAAAAAAAAAAAAAAAAAAAATCAGTACTAAGAAATGCACTCGAGCTATAAAAGTGAAGACTACCAGTCCTAGCAATGATAATATACCAAATATATCCAACACAAACCTTGCATTCGCAGCAGACACACTCTAAGCAAGCCACCTTTTGGTGACTTTTTGAGACAAGCAAACACCAGTGCTGCAGAAATAAACACTGTCCAGACACCACTCCAGCCAACAGTAGGTTGAATTGTTTGAAACCAGTGGCACTGGCTTCAAACATACCAGACAATGGCTTGAACACTGCAACGCTGCTTCTCCCCCACCCATACCTCTCCTCATTCACTCCTCATCATCGCCATCAACCTCCCCTTCCTCCTCCTCTGGAATCTTATCCAGCCACAGTCCATTGTTCCCCACTGTGAGCATGCCACTGTGGGACAGAGTCGAGCTTGCAAGCACAAGCCCACCACCTCCCACCGCACCGCCAGCTACTGCAGCACCACTCACAGCACCACTGCTGCCAGCACCCTTCACACTGCTGCTGCTGCTTCTGCTGCCGCCTTTCCTCTCTGGACTCAGCTGCCCGTCCAGAAGCAGAGCCAGAAACTCATCAGTGACTGCCTCCATCTCCTCCTCTAGAACTCCCACTCCCTCTTCCTCCTCCGCCCCACCGGCCCCATCACTCGCCACCCCTTCTGCTGGTGCTGCATGTGGAGCAGAGAGCGAGGAATCAGCAGCAGCACCAGCGGAAGAAACGGCTGGGACCCGTGTTGTGAACGGTGACTCAGCCCCCTCTGACGACTCAATCGCTACAATGTCCTCCAATTCAATCACATCCATTATAGTATCATCCTGTGATTCATTATTCACAGCGTCCCTCCCAGACTCACTACTACCAGAAACATCTAGAGATCCTTCCTCATTCACACCCACTCCCTTACCTTCCTTGTCCCTCCCCACGCCTTCCCCTTCAATACCCACTCTATCACCCTCTGTCGCACCCCACCCCTCTCTCACCACAACAGACTCGACCTCCCCTCCGCTCTCCGCCCTCTCTCCGCTCTCACCGCCACCACCCTTACCCACTGCGCTCTCCGCTTCAACTTCCCCTTTCCCGCCGGCGTGAACTACCCCCTCCCCCGCCCCAACCTCCCCCTCCACCACTTCCCCCTCTCGCTCTAGCGACGTCGCCTCAGGGCCCTCTTCCACCCCCGGGGTCTCCCCCTGCCCCTCCTCCATCCCCCACTCCCCTCCGCCGCTCCGTGCCTCCCACGCTGCGCTAGACGACGAAGTCGCGGTCGTGGCGCCCGCCCATCCCGACGACCGCGACGGGCTCGAACTGGGGGAGGTGCGCGCGCTGCTGGGGAGCGAAAACGCGCGGAACGCGCGGGTTTCGGCGCGGGCAACCCGCGCCTCCCCGTACCTCCCGCTGCCGCCACCACCGCTGTGCTGGTTGATCTGCAACTCATACCCGAACGTAGCGAGCAACACGGCGCCTTTCGCGGGGCCGTCAAGCGGGAACGAGAGCGTGTGCGGCCCGATCTCCGTTTCCACAAGCGACTGCGGGACGAGCCGCGAGAGATCCACCAGATGCCGTCCGATCTCGTAGCTGCTGCCGATCCGACCCTCCGCCGCTCCCCCCGCGCCCGCACCAGCGCTCCTTCCGCCAGCTCCGCCCCCCGTGCGGTCGAGCACGCGGACAACCACGGTAGACGGCTTGCCCTGAAAGCGCAGCGTGGACGAGGGACCGGAGGAGAAGTAAAGAGTGCACGATAACTGAAGCATCTGCTCAAATTTCACCACCCCCTCGTTCACCTCCGCAAAGCTCGTTCCCACCGCCATTCCGCGCCGCTGCCACGTCACCACAGCCTCCCAGCCTCCTCCCCCGCCGCCACCGCCGTTTCTCGGGGTGCCGCTGGGCGGACGGTTAAACGCCGGCGGGAGGCCGCTGATGCCGTGCACGTGCATGGAGAAGCAGCAGCGCGATCGGCGCGCCGCCACCCGAGCGAGCGCGCGAAGCGGGGAGAAGCGGCTCAGCAGCATGCCCCCGCCGCCAGATCCGGCGGAAGAGGCGCCAGAGGCGGATCCAAGAGTCAGCGGAACAACAGCGTTGGGGGGCAGCAGCGGACCGGATACGGGAAGGGCGGAATCGGGTGCAGAAGCTCCGTCTGCAGCAGGCGATGCGGCTGCGGCAGTGGCGCTCCCGGCGGCGTGCGTGGAGAGCGGGAGCGACGGGAGGCGGGCAAGTGACACTACGGTGGCGGAACGAGTGCGCGGAACCGAACCAGCGGTTTTTGAGGACGAGCCGGCCATGGCGGCGCTCATCATGGAGAGCGACTCGCTAAACCTAATCTGGTCCTCGAGCCACGTGCGGAAATCAGCCATCCCTTCCGCCTGTGCGGCTCCGCGCGCTCCCCCGCCGCCTCCGGGTGCGCCAGCTCCGCCGCGCATCGCGTTGCTGTGCTCGTCGTAAGCAGTCGCGCGGAGTCCCTTGCCGTCGCTCCCATCAAAGCACTCCTTGGAAGCATCGGCGCCAGGAGACAGAGAAGCCCCTCCGCCCGCACCATAGGGATTAACTTGCCCGTCGTCTTTAGTCTCCTTGGCCTGGCTTTCCGCAGACGGCGCTGCTGCCATGCCGCCGGCTCTCGAGCGAGGGTGGAGGGACGCGGCGTGCGCGTTGGATCGATAGATAACGCCCTCCTTGGCGCTGACGCTGCGGCCGTGCGCGGCCAGCCCCCGCCGCACGCCGTGCTCCACTGCAGGAGCGGCATCGACGTCCACGCCCATGATTGATTACTACAACCTAGCACACGGGTGGATAAATGATGCCTTAAAAATAGATGCCCTAATAATAAATAAATAGCGGAGATTTGACGATACAATGGACAGGCCTCGGAACAACCCAGGGAGTGACAGGGACAAGGGCAAACCAGAGGGCAACCATGGAACAGGGGGCGATGTTGCGAGGTGAACGCAAGACAACGAAGGGTGGAGACAAGTAGCACCACATGAGTTGAGGCTGGAACAGCAGCGTCAGGTCAAGATGTAAGCGGAGGTTTCCGCTTGAACATCTTTCTCAACTCTAACCGTAAAGTGGAGGCGCAAAGCCGCAGATGGGCTGGCGGCTGGGGACTTGGAAAATGTCGAGTGGTCAGGAAGAAAAGTACGGGTGCTCTGGTTGGAAACCGCGAGATCATGTGTTATTTGTCAACAAATTAGGCTGGCTAAATAAACACCAAATTTGTGCATTTAGCAGAGTAATGTGCTCCAAGAACTTCCGTTTGACAGCCTGAGCGTATTATTTTGCGATGATTATTCTATATGAGGATTCTTCGACTCTTGGGACCTCACGACGTGTTCGTAGCCTCGAGTCAGGTTCCAGATCTGTGTTTTTTCGGGTCTCAATACGACAGCAGTACTGATTGCGATGGAATCATCTCGGCCGTACGTAGGTACCGTGACCCGAAGTCACTGAAATGAAAGCCTGGCGGACACGGTTTGGTCAGCAGCGCCAGCATTCATGCGGGGAGGCGCACGGCAAGCGCCACGAAAAGTTGATCCCCGCACCAAGGTGCAACCTTATGTTTCGCGCGGGAAAAGGCCTCTGAGGGGCGTGAGCAACGCTGGAAAGGGACTCTTGCGGGCTGGAGTGGAGATCGACGCTACCGCGAGCCGTGTCTCAGGGGGAACCCCTACGGGTGCGCTATGAGAACTTTCCATCTGTGGCCTGCACGACAGGGGTCTGACACGCCAATGGCAATGTAGCAGTAAAGGAATTTGATAGGCGCGAAACTCATGTGACATCAGATCTCTCTCTTGAAACGAACAGCCGTGCCAAATAATGTACCTTCCAGAAGAAATTACATATAATATTTTCCTTTGGTACTATAAGGAAATTCCCTTTTCCTTACTTCGCGTCCCTACTCAACGCGTACATCACTGTAGCACCTCAGTCAGCACCGTTACCACTCGCGACCATCGCATCATTCATCATCCCGCCCTTTTTCGCACATCGCATCCCGACCTCACGGCTCGGCTGGTAACCCGCGCTCCGGACCTACGCTTCGACACTTTCCCAACCTCAGTCCCAGGCTCGTCGCGCGACCATTACCGTTACCACTGTAGTTTCGCTATATAATGTTCGCTCATGCCTTCGCTCATTTGGATTCTTGCTTCGATAGTGCAATTCTTGTTCATTCACTCAATTGCACTCGTAACACTTTGTATTCAGAGCCTACGATCTCATCTCGGACCGCATCCACACCTTCGCTTCCCACTATCTCAATTTTTGGGGGGGGTAGACGTCTCTCAGCGACACAGCACCGCCGCTCGTAGTGCTCTCTCGAAAGCACGCACGGCCACGACCGAGGCTCTCGCTGAGCTTGCACGACACCCCCGCCATGGCCGATTTCAATCTCGCCACGTTGACGCAGGAGCAACTCGATCGTCTCGTGCGTCAATTGGAGGATTCGGCGCTCGAAATCGCGACTCTCACGGCGGAACGTGACTCCGCCCGTCAACAGTCAACGGTGAACGCACCGACGACATCACACGCACCAACCAATGCACCTGCACATTCGGAGGAGCCCATCGTCATCTCATCCGGCACACCAACGCAACACAACAGCACGGGACAACGCTCAGGCGCAGCCAGTGACGGCGCAGCCCAACCAATGCCCGGCATGGGAGGGAATAGGAGCGCATTAAGCCCACGGGAGCCCCGAGAAGCCCGCCGGCACGTGGAGTTTGCGGCGACAAGTGGCGAGAACGCCATGATGGCCCCAATGCCACTCAAGCCGCAACGCCCGCCCTGCTTCGACCCAAGCCAACGCGGCGGCCCGACAGTTCAATCGTGGGTCTTCACGATGAATGTGTTTTTCGACGCCAACTACGTCGAGTCGGACGCCGCCAAGATCCGGTATGCGGTTTCACTACTCAGGGGCCCCGCCATGGACTGGTGGCGAGTCATTGTGACGTCGCCGCGCGCCTACGAGCCACCGTCGCACGAGGAAGGGCCCTCGGGTCCAGCTGTTACCTGGAGTTCGTTCTGTGAAACCGCCCAATACAGCACGTGGAATGCGTGGTGCGCAGGACTTCGGGCGCGCTTTGAGCCGATCGCGGCCTCGATTTCGGCGCGTCAGAAACTACGCACTTGGCGCCAGCTCGGGTCAGTTCAAGACTACACCAGCGGGTTTCTCGCACTTTGCGAACAGGTCGGCTACATGCACGAGGCGGAGCGGGTGGACCGTTACGTCGGAGGGCTGAAGCCGGACATCTCGCACGAGATAATGCTACGCGGGCTCTCGAATTTCAACGAGATCCTCGCGCTCGCCGAGAAAATCGATATCCTACGCCGACCGAGACCGGGGTCCTATTACGGACATCGTCCTCGGGGACCGACCGAGCACGCCACTGTACATGCCGTCGCAGCGAATGCAGCTGCCGCGCCGTTTAGAGGGCGCTGCTTTGCTTGCAACCGGCCGGGCCATCGCAAGAGCGAATGTCCAGAGGAGCTGAGGCGTCGAGGAGAAGAGCAGGGGAGGGAGTCTCAGAGGCAGGGAAACGCCAGCAGTCAGTAGAAGTTGGGCCAACTACTGACGAGACTGCCTGCTCGCCCAACCACACCGACCCTCACCGAGTCACAGTACCGATTCACGCCATCGATCGGGCTCGGATGAATAAGGAGGGTACAGCGACGGATTGCCCGGTACTGATCTACGGGAAAATACAGGGAGCAGCAGTGAAAATCTTCACTGACGGAGGAGCAAGCCACAGCTTAATTAATACCGCAACCGCACGAAAATTACAGTTAACGCTAACCGATGTTTACCTGAGATAGATGCACGCTTAGTCGACGGCACGCCCCTGGCCATACGGGAAAAGGTGGAGCGCGTAAAAGTCCGCTGCGGGGGGAACTTCGGGTTTACACAGGAAATGCTCGCGACGACACTGGATGGGCACGACATTTTATTGGGACGTGATTGGCTGCGACGGTACAACCCACGGATCGACTGGACGACGGGGAGCTGCACAGTGCGAAGTAGTGGTAACTGGGTCGTTCTACCTCGCTGGCAGCCACCCGAATCTTCGACGGTCCAGGTCAACGCCATCACGATGAAACGGGCTGTCGCTGCTGGAGCTGACGTGTACGCAGTGGATATCGCACTCGTAGAAAAAGATGAGCAGCCGAGTGATTTGGAGAAAGTGCTGGCAGCTGTACCGACCGAACTACAGGCACTACTGAAACGGTTCCCGGGGATATTTCCGGATGATTTACCACAGGGACTGCCACCTCAGCGGGCGCACGACCATAGGATCGAGTTAGAACCGGGGGCACAACCAACTGTACAGCGGCAATTTCGACTGACACAGCCCGAGCTCGACGAGTTAAGGAAGCAGTTAGATTACCTGTTAGAGAAGCAGTTTATCCGACCGAGTTCGTCACCGTTCGCCGCACCGATACTGTTCACACCGAAAAAAGACGGAGGGTTCCGCATGTGCATCGACTACCGAGCGCTTAACAGGGTAACAGTCAAATCGCGATACCCCATCCCCCGCGCCGACGAACTGATCGACCAACTGCGAACAGCACGAGTCTTTTCGAAAATAGATTTACGGGGAGGTTACCATCAGATTCGGGTCGAACCATCGGACTGCGCCAAAACAGCATTTAGGACTAGGTACGGGTCATTCGAGTATACAGTAATGCCATTCGGGCTGACGAACGCGCCTGCGACATTTCAGATGAACATGCACGAGGCGTTTAGACCACTTTTAGATAAATGCGTGATAGTTTACCTGGACGATATTCTAGTTTACAGCCGGGATAAGCAGTAACACTTAGTGGATCTTGAAGCAGTTTTTAAGGTTTTGGAGGAACATCGGCTACTCACCAAGGGCTCCAAGTGCGAGTTTTTTCGGGACAGGCTAGAGTTTTTGGGTCACATCATTTCGGAGGCTGGGGTTGAGATTGACCCAAAGAAGCTGGATACGGTAAAAGCGTGGCGCCCCCCGACGAACATCACGGAACTGCAGAGTTTTTTAGGTTTTGTTAATTACGTTCGACGGTTTGTGCCCGACATGGCACGTTTAACAGCCCCACTCACTGATTTACTGCGTAAGGGGGTCGCTTTGTCAGATGATTATATTACTAATGCATATATTTAGGCTGTAGTGGGGTAGCCCATAGGGGGTACAACCCAATTAGGGTTGGTACTTGTACTTGTTTCATTTCATAGTGCACTCATTTCCTCGCCTCTATCTCAACACGCTTTTACGTGGGGGGAGAAAGAGCATGCTGCCTTCTCTGCCCTGAAAAACGTTCTCTGTTCACCACCCGTTCTACGCATCGCTGATCCCCACCGCCCTTTCGAAGTGGTTACCGACGCAAGTGACATCGCCATCGGAGCTGTACTGTTACAGGACTTCGGCGACGGCCTCCAACCCATCGCCTACGAATCACGCAAACTACATCCGCCTGAGCGAAATTACCCGATACACGACCGCGAAATGCTTGCGATCGTGCACGCATTCAAAGTGTGGCGCTGCTACTTGACCGGCGCAGACGTGACAGTACGGACAGACCATCGATCTCTACAGTACCTCCGCGCACAGCCCCACCTCAACCCACGACAGATTCGATGGCTCGATTTCCTCGAGTCAAATTTTCACTATACGGTCACATACAAAAAAGGAGCCTCGAATATCGCCGACGCACTGACCCGCCCCACTGCCCAGATCCACGCGATACTACTCGCCCAGACCAGCCCGCTACTGACAGGCCTATT